CCAATGAATTTGAGATATGTGTGAAATTGTTTGTTAAATGTAAGTGATGTAATATACTATTGTGTTATTAAAGGCTATTTATACTTATTCCAGAGATATATTTTTGAAATGTGTTATTTATTAAGTAATTGTTTTATGAAGGTGACAGTTTTATGACAATGAATAAGTGTAGATGTAAAAATTGTGTGGGTGTGCAATTATTTTCCAACTTGTAGTTATCAAATTACTTTGATAAAGTTCTATTGGCAATGAGTTAATTATTGGAATAGTCAAGTAAATAAAATGGTAAAATACAAACAATTAAGGATGATTTAAACACACTAAAACAGAAAACACTTAGAAGGGACGAAACAAATATTGAATTAAAAGGGGGAAGGACTTTAATGCACTACATCATAGTCTTGGGCACAATGAGTTTTTTTATTATTGTATCTATTAGATTTTAGTGGTAAATTTTGACAGATGTAGGTTAGCATGTGACAGTTCTTCTTCTGTTTCTCAATACTGTAAGTTAAGTTATCTAGTTTCATAAAATATGCTGTTATTAATGAATGTCTATAAAACTGTTTCAATTTGAGATATCAAAAGTAAATTGATGTAACAATATGGATAATTGAAATACATCCTACAATATAACTAACTCAGTCTAATGTCCAAATTACTGAAATAAAAAAGTAATTCTTTGGCAACTGAACATGTACATTTAATAATCAAATGTATAATAAGTTTACAAGTTTTTTATTTTTTATTTGAAATTGATGTAGGTATGAGTTATCTGTCCGGGTATTTTTTAATTATTAGAGATATTTTTTCAAAATCTGATATATTAATATCTAATATACTAATATGTAACCAAAGCAACAAATGGATAATTATTGATGGTAATTAATTTATGGGCTCAAGAAATTGACTGAATTATAAAGCCTTCAATAATTAGTTGGTAGTTCTAATATCTATCTAATGGTAAATTTATTCTTATACCTTATAAGAATAAATTTACCTTATACCGGTTTAAATAGACGATCATTCTACCTGTTCGTATAACAATTTCCGGTTCCAACTGTCGGATATTAGAACTACCAACTAATTATTGAAGGCTTTATAATTCAGTCAATTTCTTGAGCCCATAAATTAATTACCATCAATAATTATCCATTTGTTGCTTTGGTTACATATTAGTATATTAGATATTAATATATCAGATTTTGAAAAAATATCTCTAATAATTAAAAAATACCCGGACAGATAACTCATACCTACATCAATTTCAAATAAAAAATAAAAAACTTGTAAACTTATTATACATTTGATTATTAAATGTACATGTTCAGTTGCCAAAGAATTACTTTTTTATTTCAGTAATTTGCACATTAGACTGAGTTAGTTATATTGTAGGATGTATTTCAATTATCCATATTGTTACATTAAATTTGATTAATTAAAGATTGTTAAAGTATGCCAGTATTAAACACATCAATTTACTTTTGATATCTAAAATTGAAACAGTTTTATAGACATTCATTAATAACAGCATAGTTTATGAAACTAGATAACTTAACTTACAGTATTGAGAAACAGAAGAAGAACTGTCACATGCTAACCTACATCTGTCAAAATTTACCACTAAAATCTAATAGATACAACAATAAAAAAACTCATTGTGCCCAAAACTATGATGTAGTGCATTAACGTCCTTCCCCCTTTTAAATTCAATGTTTGTTTCGTCCCTTCTAAGTGTTTTCTGTTTTAGTGTGTTTAAATCATCCTTAATTGTTTGTATTTTACCATTTTATTTACTTGACTATTCCAATAATTAACTCATTGCCAATAGAACTTTATCAAAGTAATTTGATAACTACAAGTTGGAAAATAATTGCAAACCCACACAATTTTTACATCTACACTTATTCATTGTCATAAAACTGTCACCTTCATAAAACAATTACTCAATAAATAACACACATTTCAAAAATATATCTCTGGAATAAGTATAAATAGCCTTTAATAACACAATAGTATATTACATCACTTACATTTAACAAACAATTTCACACATATCTCAAATTCATTGGATCAAATCTATCTCCTCAAGAACTTCCCGTTTACTGTCAAACAACTGCAATAATAGTATTGAGTTCTCCATTCAACAATATAAAGTAGTTTCAAACATGTTCTACCATCCATCTATTAATAGAGTACCGGCATGTAAGTAATGTTTATTTTATTTATTTATTTGCTCATTTATTAATTTATTACAATCGAAGAGACTATTTTATAACAATTTGTGGGCCTTACCTTGTCTGTTTAACCTTTTTAAAAAATTTTTATACCTTTTATTCAACTTACTCATTTAAATAAAACCACAGACATGTAATATTGGCATAATTATTGTAATTTAAAACATCTAATTTGTTTATCTTTATTAGACAACACCCTAATATGGGTTTTTATCATTTCAGCATTTGTTTAACTTTGTATCGAGACCTGAAGATGCTTTGCATATTGTAGAAAGCGAAACCGGTCGACTGATAGTTAAATTAAATTGATTGTGAGTAAGTCTTATTTATTATTTCTTTACCTATTTGAAATGGACTCACACAAGCAACACATTCATGATTTGAAAAGGAAAATGTTTAGTTTGTGGGTGAATAACAGAACGAACTTTTAGCGAAAAGGGTTTAGATCACAGATCACCTACCTCTAAGCATGGGTAACACACTTATTATTGGGGTGACACTTGAAACCTTTCCTAATGCGTGTATCGTTAGAGTTATTTGCGATGCAGATGCAATGGTACAAGACAGGATGGATCTACAAGAGAGTTATTGCAAACATGTTGTAAACACAGATTTTATTCTTTTATTTTCACAAATGACATTAAATATTTTTGTATATATAAAAATAATCTATAAAATTGTATTTAAGTACCTGTAATAATATACTATAATAAAAATTAAAATAAGATCATTCAAAATTAATTAATTTAATTAATTGATTATTTTCTCATTTAAAGAATACCATAACCCATAATACTCGTACAATATGGAAGTAAAATTATTAGAAGTAGCTATTTTAGGAGTTGTTAAATACTTTTGCATATTATGGGTATGTTATAAAATAGGGAATTCATGGACAATGTATTATTAGGAAATGGTGGATATCTAGTTCTCAACTACCATTGTAAAATCTTGAGACAGCAGTTGAAGTGTTGTATAATCTATAACAAATTGCTTCAAGAATTGTTAATGAAAGAACTTTTGTTATTTTGAAGAGATTTTACATTTTAACATGTGGAATGAGATGCAAATTACCTTTTTTTCAAAGAATAATGCCCAACAGGTTACTCCGTTTTACATAACATTGCAGTAGTTAATATAGAAAACATTGAAATTCCGGCAAATGAGGGTGCTGTTGATATTTGAGGGTAGTAGTTTTAATTAAAAAGTTTTTATTTATAAATACCAATCTATAAGCCATTAAAATTTCAAAAATTAAACCTTTGTTTTATTGTGTTAACCTGTTTATATTGTTAATCCTTTATGATGGATATCTGTTAAATGGAATAAGTACTCTATTCCACAATGTCTGAAGCATGATATTTGTGCATATAAATTTATTGAAATTAGATACACCTTATATATCTGTAATTAAAAATGTCAAATAGGTATATTGAATTTAATAAATGAGTTTATTCTTTATTCTATGTCTGATCTATGATTATCAAACACTTTAAAATTGTTTAGAAATTACTTATATTTTAAATTCCTTTTTACAAACTTTTTTTAATATGTCAAGCTTCAATAAAAATGTTCTTTTTTAAATTGATTTGGATCAAAACATCTATATCTGATCTACATCAGAGAATAAACTTTTATTTAAAATTTTAAGGGATCAATTCAAGTGAGTAGTCCATAAAAAAATAATCTATTCTAAACAGGCTAAATAAAACGACAATATTTTACTAAACCATTGAAATAAGGACAGATATTGTAAAAACAGATAAAGAAGCTGTAACATCTGTTTTGCATTTAATAGCTGTGCGAGACTTTGAGCAGAGTTGATCTTTTCACAAATAAAACCTTTTTGAGAACAAAGGAAAGGAAGCAAAGCGATAATAGATCAGACAAGTTGAAAACTCAAAATGTGTTTGTTAATGTTTGATTGATGAACTAATTGCGACGTTGTCAGTTTTGTGACAGCAGTCCGAGATTTACAGAAAAAGCTGGAAGTGTGAAAAAAATTATGGAGAAAAAATAAGAGATATTTTTATGAGATTTGAATCAAAGTGATAAGAGCAATTGTAGGTAGATAAGCCTCAAGAAAACTGACAATCGAAGGACCATATAAGAGAGAGAGAGAGAGAGAGAACTGATTCGCTCAATAGGTTAACTCAAAAGTTACCATCTACAGTCTGCCTGTGCTGAACTGACAACACAGTACTTATCTTTGCGATACGATTCCTCGGGGATTTACAACTAACAACTTCTGCAGTTCTGTGTACTCACATACACATACGTACATTGAAGTGAAGAAAAAGAGTGTTTAGAGTTTCAGTATATTGAATTTGTGTAACTCGTCGTATTTGCATCTATATTTAATAATTTTTATTCTTCTACATTTTGAAAATGCCTCCAGTGCCAAATAAAAAAAAGAAAAATTAGTAGTTTGTGGAACTTTTTTATAGAAGTGGATGATAATTATGCATCATGCAATATTTGTAAAGCCAAGCTGTCTTATAAAACGAGCACATCTAATTTAAAAAAACACATGCAAGTAAAACATCCGGCCATATCATTAAACGTTGGAGCATCTTCAGGAAGTAATGTACAGCAGGTAATTTTTTAAAAATTCCATTTATTTAGCTCATTTTCATTAAGAGTATCAGGTTAACTTAAGTCAAATTAATTATGTACCAAAATGGTTTTTCTTTTGAAATAAATAATTAGATAGATAGATTTATTGTATATAAACAATTGTGACAAAGGTCTTATTTTTTACAGGATATTCCATTAGAAGAAACAGCAGCAATATTACAACCAAACAATGATGCTTAGGCAAGTAGTTCCAATATAGAACCTTTAACCAAGACTGTGCAGCGTCAAACCACTATTGCTGCTTTTATTCCCAAACGGGTTACACCGAAATTAAAAAAAAAATATAGATGATAAACTGATTCGACTTTTTACCGACAGTCTCCAGCCTTTTCGTATTGTTGAAGAACTTGCATTTAGACAATTTGTTGAAGCTCTTAATCCATCTTATGAATTGCCAAGTAGATACATGATATCTCGAACAGTAATTCCAGCAATGTATGAGCAATGTGTTATTGAAACACAACAATTAATAACAAACTCCAAAAAGATATGTGTTACTACAGATTGCTGGACATCTTCAAATATGGAGAGTTACATGGGAATAACTATTCATTGTTTGGATGACGATTTTAAATTTATATCCCTACTACTAGATTGTTCTAATTTGCCTGTACAGCACACATCTATTAACCTGGCAAAAGAGAGTTTGTGTCGAATGGAAGGTAGAAAACAAAATTTTAATGGTTGTTTCGGATAATGCAGCAAATATAAAGTGTGCCATACAAAATGATATAAAAATGAAACATTTTGGATGTTTTGCACACACGATAAACCTCATTGTGAACGATGGCTTAAAGGATGGGGAAATCATTAAAATTTTAAACAAAATAAAAAATACTGTAAGCCACTTTAAAAAGAGTTCTACAGCAACTGCTAAACTTTTAGATTATAAAAAAAATCAGGGAATTGGCAATCCTCTCAAATTACTGCAAGATGTTTCAACACGTTGGAATTCAACATTTTATATGTTGGAAAGATTTATTCACCTAGAAGAAACTGTAAAGGCTATTACAGCTATAACAAATATGGATACAAACAATAGTTTGACAATGTATGAGTGGAATGTTATTAAACAACTATGTCAAATTTTAAGACCTTTTGAAAAAGTCACTAAAACTATTTCAGGAGAAGGCTATTTAACAGCTTTCCTTGTAATCCCATTGGTAAATGGATTAGTCTCTGTTTTTAATGTATTTAAAGAAAAGACGTTTGAAAGAGCAGTGCGTAATGTTCTAATCAAGTTAGACAATTCCATAGAGGAGAGACTAGGTCGGTTAGAAAATAGTAACACACTGTCGATTTCAACTTTTCTTGACCCAAGGTTTCGACAAATTCCATTTAAGGATCCAACAAATGCAGAAATAGCAAAGAAAAATATAATCGCTCTAATTGCTGAAAAACGGATTGAAAAAAAAAGATAAAGGTTCTATACCTCAAATTTTATTAGAAAATGAGGAAACATCTGGAGATCCGGACGATATATGGGCAGAATTTGATAAGACTGCCTCACAGTATCAACCACGAGGCACTACGACAAGCAGGGCAATAATCGAAATGCAAAGATTTATGGAATGCGATCGGTTACCAAGAAATGAAGATCCTTTAAAATGGTGGAGAGAAAATAAATATATTTTTCCACATCTTGCAGAAGTAGCGCAAGAACGTCTTAGTGTCATTGCAACATCAATGCCTTGCGAACGGTTATTTTCCAAGGCAGGTCTAATTATTTCGGATAAAAGAAGTCGACTTAATCATAAGAAAGCTATAATGTTGCTATTCTTAAATTCAAATTTAAAAGTAACAAATAGTAGTAGTAACTAAAGTGTTTGTAGCAAATAGTAGTATTTAAAGTTATGCCTCTGTATTTAAAGTTTTTATGTTAGATTTTCTTTATTAAAAATGGTTAGACTTACTGAACATCTATTTATTAATTTGGACTTAGCAAGTTATTTTTATATATTAAATCTTTGCTTTCTTTTACCAAATGATATTTTAAGTTGTCTTTTATAATGTAATTCTATTTCTGAATATTTTAAAGTTTTCTATGAATAATTGTTTAATTATATTTTTCTTTAGTTATAATTTATATTATAAAAAAATTAAATTTTCAAATGTATTAAAACATATTTTGTTTTTTGTACACTATAATAATTAATAACGCTATATTTGTAATTTTAAACAACAATAGTTGTAAGTTTTTTCAACAAATTTTAAATTCTTATTTACTTTATTTTTAAAACTTTGTATGTGGTATTATTGTTATTTTTATGAAATAAAAACAATGAAAAAACATTAAATTATTTATTAATAAAAAAACTTTTTCATTACAAAAACTACTTTTTGAATGAATTTTTTTTATGCTTATGTTTAGTCTAGCAAATCGTGACCTAGACGTGTAGAATTTTATGATGGTCCATAATGGTAACACTTATTCGGAGTTTAACATGCGACTTTTTCGTTGCACTGTTAAATCACAATCACAGGTAAAAATCACAGTGAATAAAAAATCACGATCACAGTTATACCTGTGATTGCAAAATCACAGTTTAGCCCACCTCTAATTCAGTATCTCGGACCTTCCTGTCGCAGGCGACTGAATGTGTATGCCAGATGCAGAAGAAATATTAGGTTAAATGAGCGCTTTCAGACACTGATACTGTTGCACCACATTCCATAAACGCACGATTTTCTGTCGAATTGTCGAATAGTTGTGAATGAACAACGAAAGAGAAAAGGTGTTTTTTTGAATATAGTTAAAAATGGAGCGTGCTGTATTTGATAACGATAAATTCATTTGTTTGGTACAACCAAATCCCTGTCTGTGGGATACTGCATCGCCAGATTACTGCAACAGAAATAAAAAGCAGCAATGCTGGGTCGAGATTTCTAAACAAATGTGCGACAATTTTGAGACCATGACTGCAGTTCAACAAAATGAATACGGTAAGAAATAAACATGTTTTTATTATAAATACATAGGTATTTTGTTACATACGTATACAGTTTAGTTTTAAAAGTTTGCTTGTTGGAATTTTGATTATTTAACGAATATAAAACTACATGTGTGTACTTATCGAATATATTAATTTTTCCTCAAAAAATAATGTGTTCAATATCATTTAACCACAAATATTTTTAGCAAGATATTACACAATTAGACCAGTCTGGTTAAAAAAATGGTCGAAAAATGTTTCGCAGATATCTGAAGCTTTTAAGACATGGGTGGGGGTACTATATGATGAATAAATGAAAAGGTACTCGTATTTTTACCTTGCGTTTTTTTTTTAAACAATATTTTATGGTCACAATTTGATTTTTTGTCTATAAGTTTTTTCCCTTATATTCTAAATAAGCAATATTTATATCATTTTTTTTATTGCAAGAATATCTTTATTTTCCCGTTTTTTCAATTAAAATTGATAAATAAGTTACGGAGATATTTGCGAAAAAGCAGGTTTTTTTACACTTATGTATGAATTTTATTAATTTTTATTAACAAAATAAAATGTTATTATTACATTTGAAGGTCGAAGAATTACCGTCTTTTAAATTTCTGGGAAGTTTCCCCCCGATGTGTCAAATAGTTTAAAAGTTATTTAATTTACTCATCCCTGAGGCTAATTATTTAAACTATTGAACTTGCCATATGAATGATGCTATACACATTTAGCAAATTTCATAGGATTCTTTATTTCTTAAACTATCCCAGAAGTTAAATGCATATTGCGTTTTCATCCAAATTATTTACAAAATAAACGTTTGAAAAATGGATATGTTTTTTACTGATAAACAATTGTAATAACTTCTATATTTTTCAAGCCACAGACTTGTACGTATAATCATTGGATAGCTGGTCAAAAAACTCACATTTAAAACAAAATCTTCTATGACAATAGGAACGAAGTTAGCGACTATTTTTAAAAACATCATATCTCTATTGTTTATAAACATTAAGAAGTAAAATTTGCACAAATTTTGAATGAAAATCTAAACATTATATTGAAACTTATAGCAATAAAATGCATCCAATTGTTCGACACTTATAGCTTTTTGAAACGAATATAGTTCTTCTTCAATATAGTTCTTTGTGTAAAATATTTTGTGTATTTTGAACAAAAAAGTTTTAACTAAACGTATTGAATTACTATTGCTTGAAAATTGTAAGTAATATTTAAGACTATTGAATGAATAATTAATTACTTTAAACTTGTATAATCATTGAAAAATATTATTTAGGTATTATAGATTATTTCAAAATAAACAGCAGACTGTGGCATTAACTTGTTCGAGCAGTAGTAGTTTCAAACTAAGTATTTTCCAGCTGCAATGGAAGCCGAGAAAATGTAAATTTTTCCTACGTGTTTCAATTTGAAGTTCCGATGTCGAACAAAAAAACGGAGCTACTGAAACAGTTATCCTCTCCACTTTCCTATGTCGATATTTCTAAAGTACCTTGGTTTCGAACGGCTGTAAGTTTGGAAAAAGTGAATAAATTTTATAGCTATAAGTTTCAATATACAGTTTAGATTTTCATTCAATATTTGTGCAAATTTTACTTCCTAATATTAAATAAACAATGAAGATATGATTTTTTAAAAAATAGTCGTTAACTTCGATCCTATTGGTCATAGGTTTTTTATAAATGTGAGTTTTTTACCAGTTATCCAATAATTGTACGTACAGGTCTGTAGCTGCAAAATATAGAAGTTATTACAATTGTTTATAAGTAAAAAACATACCCCTTTTTCAAATGTTTATTTTGTAAATATTTTCGATGAAAACGCAAACATTTAACTTCTGAGATAGTTTTAGTCTTAAAGAATCAATAGTTCAATAGTTTAAATAATTAGCCTCAGTGATAAATAAACTAAATAACTTTTAAAATATTTGACCGATCGGGGGAAAATTTCGCACAAATTTAAAAGACGGTAATTCCTTGATGTTCAAATATATTAACATTTTATTTTGTTAATAAAAAAATAATAAAATTTATAAATTAATGCAAAAAGAATTGCTTTTTGCAAATATCTCCGTAAATTATTTATCAATTTTAATTGAAAAAACGGGAAAATAAGGATATTCTTGGTATAAAAAAATAATATAAATATTGTTTATTTACAATATAAGGGAAAAAACTTATAGACAAAAAATCAAATAGTGACCATAAATTATTGTTTAAA